GGCTGCCCAGGGAGGTGGTTGAGTCCCCATCCCTGGATGTGTTTAAGAATAGGGTGGATGATCTACTTGAGGATATGGTTTAATGGGGATTAGGGATGGTTGGACTCGATGATCTATAAGGTCTTTTCCAACCTAGAAATCTATGAATCTATGAATCGGGAAACAGATGAAGTCAATGGGATTATATTAGGAACACGTTTTTCCCCTGACCAATCATCTGGTGTAGTGTAGTCTATTAAATGAACTGTGTCGGAAATAAATGTTTTAGTCAAATTCTAAATGAGGCAGTTATTAGTCCATTTTACTCAAGGTAAAAAATGGATTGCTTTTGAGATGCGAAAGATATTTGCTATATTGTATGTTTATTTTTTCCAGTCAAAGTTTTATTGTCTCTTCTTCTCCTTTGGCATGAGGTACACTTAGGTGTTGGTTTTTTGTTTTTAATTTCTCTGCAATATGTTTTCTAATAATTCCTGTGACTCCCAAAATACAGTAAAGCCATACCAAAAGTTACAGGTGACCACAGTTCACTCCATTTCACTCAAAACAGCCTCAAAGATTGGTTTGTTTTTCTCACAGTGATTTGAAGAGCTGTATAGTCTTAAAATTAAAAAAAATAAAATAAATAAAATCATGCTTTGAAATTAAATGTGTCGTTTATCTTGAGCCATCAATACACGCTGGTTAAAATCAGTCTGTAACTACTCTTTGTAAAGTCTCTGAGTTCAGAGATCCTTTTAAAATAGGAATGCTGTTCTCTGTCCATGGACAGCTTATTTAAGACTGAAGAGTCTATCTTGAATTTTTTCTAAACAGTCGTACCCCTGGAAGTCGACAAGCCTCCCCGACAGAAGTAGCTGAACGCTTGGGCCCCAATCCTAGCACTGCAGAAGGATTGGGTCCACTTCCCAATCCTACAGCCCACAAGCCTCTGGTAGAAGAATTTTCAAATCCAGAAAATCAGAATCTAGATGCCATGGAACAAGTTGGTCTTGATTCTCTACAGTTTGACTATCCTGGCAATCAGGTACAAATGGACTCTTCAGGAGCTACTGTAGGACTTTTTGACTACAATTCTCAGCAGCAGGTTAGTACTGGACTTGAAAATGTGCCAAATTGATCCTTTAAATTGTGCATTACCCTCTTTGGTAATCAGTCATTAAGGCATGTAATGCATTTGATTTTGTTTTGTCTGTGACATACATTTATTTTCCTTTGACTGTTTAATCTAGAAGAGTATCGTTCCATAGATTTCTAGTTTAGCAACTTACTAGGATAGAAACTTGGTTTAAAATCTTTTTTGATAAGTAAATCCCGGTATATTACAGCCCTGACTTTTGAAAACTGAAATGCGTCTTTTTTCTTTTCCAATAGCTTTTCCAGAGGACTAATGCTCTGACTGTTCAGCAATTAACAGCAGCCCAGCAACAGCAGTACGCACTGGCTGCAGCTCAGCAGCCACATATAGGTGAGGTTTTTGTGGAATATAGCCGGCGTCTCTGGGAAATGTGGGTGTGATGCTCTGCTGTAACCCTTTCAGTTTTACCCGCGGTATTGATTCATATAGAGACTGATGGATTGGCCCATTTCAGCACTTTTCCTGAAGACTGCTCAGAACGACTGCATAAGGCTGTCCAGCCCTTAAAGAAAGTTCTCTGTTGTGTAGAGTTTTGCCTACTTTGAACTGTTGTATGCAAAGAAAATAAAAATTATTTTTCTTGTGTAATACAATAGTTGAATTTTGGTGGGAGAAGTAAAAGCTTTTCTGCTATAAGTAGTGATAGAAACACTAGCTTTATTTACTAGAATAACAAAAAAAAAACGCAATTCTGTTATTCTGTTGCAGCTTAGCATTTTTGATAATCCAGTTAAAAACCATTGACAGTAAGATTTTGAAATCAAACTTTTGTGTTCATTCTTTCTTGTTAATGGCACCTTTTGAACAGATGGCTATTTTTGCAGATACTTTTCTTTGTGATGGAATTGTTCTTTAGCAAGCATTTTTTTCGGTCCTTTTAAAGTAATTCAGGGAGTTAATTAAATGCATAAAGTTCTTAGTGTGCTGGCAACTCAACAGAGAGGCTGTATTTCAGTGACAACCGTTTAAGCTGCCGCTATGGGGAAGCTGTGTGTTTGGGGTGAGGGAGGTTGGAGTGCATGTGGAAGCAATCCTTATTTAAGAAAGGGAGCTCCTCAGATTCTGACGCTGTAGGACGGGTTTAAAGGTTCCTGCCCTTCCCACTGCCCACCACTAGGCCGTTGAGGTGTGTGCACCTATTTTCCTCTGCGAGGGAGGGAAAAAGTTACCCGGATAAGGGCAGACAGAAATAGGAAGCAGTATCTCCAAAAGGATGTGTCCGTATTATCCTGTGATATGGTGACAGCTAAGTTTTTCTCCGAGCTTGTTTAGCCAGATTGTGAGGTCTGTTCATTCAGGCATCAGCAGCCTATAGCTGGGGTTTAAAAGTGGCAGCTCTTAGTGTTGTGTAGCTGACTAATACAGTCTTAGAGCTGAGAGCATGGCAGATTGAGATGTTGGTGTGAGGCCACAAGTCCAGCCTTATGCCTCTGACTTCTAAACTGCAGAGAAGCCCCTACTTTATACCAAGTGCTGACTGAGCAGGCAGCTGTATCTTGCCCCTTCAAAAGGCAACCTCTTCTGATAGGCATGTCTGTAAAACTTAGCAAGAAGCCTCCTATTTGGAAGAAGAAACATAGTTTGATGTGCCGTGCTTGCTGGAGACTAGTTGCTGTCTCTGTGTTGGAGAAAGAGCATGAACCTGACTGACGGGGGGGAAACTCTGAGTGGACAGTGCTTTATTTGGTGACTGAGTTTCTTCAGTTGTCTCTTTCCGTTACAATCCTTATATTAAATTTAGATTCTGTAAAGTAAGATTAGTATTTCATAACTGGCTGTTTAAAAGCCAGGTATCTGATTTAAACTATCTGGTTAGATTTGTTTTTTTCACCTATTGTCAGTGAAAAGAGATTTGTATCTCTAGCAGATGATGCATTCTCTCTGGCTGATTCATTTAGGCACTAGATGATGTATCTGATACAGATTTAGCTGTAAGACTAGCATAACTTTTAGTTAAAGTTGGGCAAGGTATGTTCCACTTTGAATAGTCCCTTCTATACAAGGGTGGGGAGGTACATATGAGATTAATTTCCTTGGGGTCTGTAGATCCAGCAAAACAAAGTTGTTAGGCCTTGGGATTAGTAAGAAAGGACTGGTGAGAAGAGATAAAGTGTTGATTTCTGTAATGGTGTACCTGCTCTGAGAAACTTCCAAAGTACAAGCAGTTCTGATTTTAACAGGTATGCTTTGTGACTTGATTGGTTTGAATATGATGATGCTTGCTAAGTATGTTAGCTGTAATTAAACTCTGTTTATTACTGTAGCAGGCGTATTCTCGGCAGGCTTGGCTCCAGCTGCTTTTGTGCCAAACCCATACATTATCAGTGCTGCTCCTCCAGGTACTGACCCATACACTGCAGCTGGATTAGCTGCAGCAGCTACTCTAGCAGGGAACTGAACACTTTCTAGTGTCTATCTTGATTATTTTACTGAATGAGATTAGAAAAAAGTGGAATCCATCCTGTTTATTCTCTGTAAATACATTTCTAGGAAGTAGGGACTTGTAGGAAAATTAATATTGCCGTTTTAAAAATTTTCATTAAAACTTAAAGACATTTAGTTTATTTTATTTATGGATTCTGAGTATTTCTTTCCACTGGACTTTTAGATGCGACAGTAAGGTTTCCTTTGTTCTAAAAATGTTCATCCTTAATAAGGTTTCATCTGACATTAGTCATATGTATTATTGTGAAGAGATGAGACAGCTAGCCTTTCCTTGTATGTTTTTACTCGGTGCATTAATTTTCTAATTCCAGGTTTTCTCATTCCCAGTGGGCATGAGAATAGAGATGGTCTCCAGTGTGCTGAAAGGCCCAGACAACAGATAAACCCCAAGCCCAGGAAAGTCTCTTAAAGTTAATAGATATCTCTGTGAAACAATGCTACTGAGTAGTCAAGTCCCAGCTAGTGCTGAGCATAACATTTGGAAAAAAAGCACCTATATCTCCAGTTGGTGGCTTCACAGGAAAGGCAGTAGGAAGAACTAAAATGTAAATATACAGAATGCATTATGTGTGCAATGCAGTGATACAGAGGGCTCATTCTACGAGTTCTTTATCGGTAGACTGGAAGAGGTCTATATGCCCACTCTGAAGAGCATGACATGGTAGGCAGGGGAGGCAGAGGCGATAGTTGTGTTTATAAGCAAAGGAAGTGTACACAAAGAAGGAATAATCCAAGTCAGTATATCACTGTCAAGAGGATTCATTTGGCTCATTCTGTGATGTTCTGAAATTATCTTTTTTCCAACCATGAAAACTGATTTTGAGTGTTCTTTGGTGTACAAACTTTGATTACTTTTTTTGTCACTTGAGTGTCACAAGGGTATTTATTTTTTCAGAGAAGGTATGGTTTGATGTGAATCCTTTAAATTAATCCATTTGTGTTCATATATCATTTTGACTAATATGGGAATTCATTTCTTTTTACTACTGATTTCTGTTTTGACCTTTAGAAGATAGATCAATGAGAGATGCTACAAACAATGTAAACAATTATTTTAACTAGCTGCAATAGATGGAATAATCATGTTTTCTGGTTTTAGGTCCTGCTGTGGTTCCGCCTCAGTATTATGGTGTTCCATGGGGGGTGTATCCAGCCAATTTATTTCAGCAGCAAGCTGCAGCAGCAAATACTACAGCAAATCAGCAAGCGGCTTCGCAGGCACAACAGGGACAGCAACCGGTATGTTCTTCATAAAAAGGAGATGTGCATTTAAAGCCTTACCGTAACATTTTCAGCATATATAAGGATCAGCTTCTAGAAAATTTTACTTAATTGAGATGTTGTGTTGTATCAATTAATAAATGAAAAATTAAAAACAATCAATTTCCTTACATTACTGCTTATCATTGCCTTTTAAAAAATAACTTACTGCATACTAAATAGTTGACTTATTTTGCAGTCCCAATTTTTAAAATAACATTAAAAGTGATTCCTTTTATCCAGGTTACTGTGCTGTTATGTTTATATCTAGATAACGCTACCTGTACTGTTGTTCAAAAATTAATGTGAAGTTAAATCTAGAAAGCTAACATAATGGGGTGAAAAGAGGTGTGTTAGTAATCTTAGAAGGATATTTTTTCTTTTAAGCCTGGGAAAAAATTGATCTACTTTTTTATTAATTAGCTGGAAAATTGGATGATACACATTTTTCTTTGTCTCCTTAAAAAGTGGGGAAATGAAGGTGTTATCAGTAGTTTTATTGCTTCATGAAGAGGAAGGTTGCCCTGCATATTGTTCTGTGACAGAATAATTGTATTACAACATTACCATGTGCCATATGTTATTCTTGCCTTAGTAAATCAAGAGTAAGCAATTATTTCAAGAACTTGTTGAAATTTCCATTTCTTTAAGTAACTTTAAGAAAAATGCTAGTTTTCTATTGTTACTCTGGATGTGTTTTTAAAACCATTATATGATCTTTTAATATAAACAAATGGCCTTTTTCCACAAAGGAAAAACCCAGATCTTACAATGATCTTACGCTGAATGTAAATATTTTAATTACTTTTTTTTTTACTAGCAATATAGTTAATTTCAATGCGATTCCTAAATTTAATATGCAAAGTGATTTTGAGTTACCATGAAGTTCCAGAGTAACTTCATCACTGCTTTAATATTCAGGTGGATCTTTATTCCTACTGATCGTTCTTATCAGTGAACTGCATTGATAACTGAACGTGTGCAATCTCTCCAGTGGTTTTTTGCTTTCTCTGTAAAATTGATATCCAATTTATGCAAATCACATGTAAGATATTTTGTGGGGATATATTATAAATTGTGTTTCCTTCTCGTTTTGGACTTGGAAAAAATTATTTCAACCAAGAGGAATAGAGTAGTTACAAGAATTCAGATTGCTTTTCAATGAGATTCCTAGAGATATGCTGTCAGAAGATAATAAAATAACCCTGTGTTGCATGGTGACAGAGTATTACGTGAATTCTTAAAACTTAGTGGCTGCATTTTTTTACAGCGCTGTTGGCAGCACAGTGTCAATTATTTAGATGAATTACTACAAGCTCTGAAGTATTCAGACTTACATCATTCAATTGCCTGAAAATAATGTAAACAAATGCATTTATCAGGGAAGGACAGGTGTTCTCTTAATAAATAATGCAGATCATAAATGTGTCACTCTTACAGATTTTTCTTGCTCACTTTATACTTAACTACCATTGATGGAACACGCATGAGTTCTGCTGTCCAGAGCAGGGCAGATATCTTATTGTCACATTTGTCAGCAAAGTAGTTTATGCTTTTTATTCTTTGTACGTATATATCCTTGAAACCAATAAGATGGAGTATTTCCAAAATGAAATTCAGTGCTAAATGGCTTCAAACATGCAAAGCAACTGTTCTAGACCTTTTTTAGCATATAATGTGCTTGCTTTCTTACCTTTTAAGGAAAGGGTGTTGTGCTGGTCTTTTCCAGGTTCTGCGTGCTGGAGCAACTCAGCGCCCCCTTACTCCAAATCAGGGTCAGCAAGGGCAGCAGGCAGAGTCACTTGCAGCAGCTGCAGCAGCAAATCCAGCTTTGGCTTTTGGTCAGGGTCTTGCTACAGGCATGCCAGGTATGTATGTTATCAGTGGATTAAGAGAATCACTGCAAGTTAAAATATTGATGTTATTAGATACCAGATTAACTGTTAAAAGTCCTGCTACGTTTATGATAAGCTGCTTAGAATCGAGTTTTAGAAAAATTTGTGGTGTTCAGTTGAATTAAAATACTAGCATGAGATTCTTAGAGCACAAGAAATTCCTCTAGCATTTTTGATTTGGATCATGTTCTCTGTATATGTAGTTACAAATGTATGCACAAGGAGTACTGTAGGTTTTTGCAGGATAACTTCATATATAATGGAGCAAATACATGCTGTCTTACAAGGTCACGAGTTGCCTGAATGGTTACTCTGATGCAACAGGAAGTATAAATTTGTCGTTCTGAAGTAATTTTGTACTTGTGGTATATAAAAATAATATTTAAAATTCAGAATCCAGAATTAGGAAACTTAAAAGAAAATTACTGCTTAATCATCTCAGAAGATCACAACATGCTTGAAGTGGAAGCACTCCAAAGCTTGGAGCCTTGGATCCTTTTAGTGTGCATGTCTTCTGACTTATCTGGAGAATGGTTATTCTGAGTCTCAGTACAGTGCAAAGGTGTGCAAAGGATAAGGGGCAATGGCTTTAAACTGAAAGAGGGCAGATATAGATTAGATACAAGGAAGAAATTCTTCACTCAGAGGGTGGTGAAGTGCGGTAACAGGTTGCCCAGAGAAGTTGTGGCTGCCCCATCCCTGGAGGTGTTCAAGGCCAGGCTGGATGAGGCTTTGGGCAACCTGATCTAGTGGAAGATGTCCCTGCCCGTGGCAGGGGGTTTGGAACTAGGTGATCTTTAAAGTCCCTTCCAACTCAAACCATTCTGTAATTCTATGATGCATGTGTCGTAACTGCACAATGTATTAGCTTGAAGTTCAGCATCACTTTTAAGTGTTTGGAACAATTACCTGAGGAAGAACAATTTAAGTATACTTTGCCGTTCTTCTGTATGAAGGTTAAGATTTTACATAGTGAAGTTAGATAACGTTGATGGTAGCTGCAAATGCATTTGACTTGTAGAGGTTCTGTCCTCTGTCTGCACTACTGTGAAATGCCTCACGACCTAGAAGTCAGCTAGTTTGTTGCTGGATGCTCTGGGACTGTGTTGTGCACTTAGTCTCACATGATCAGATTTTACACCTCTAGCTGCAGAACAGACTGGCTCTTGTGGTTTATCATGTCTGTTTTGTTTTATGACTGCCATTTTTATTTCTTCTTATGCAATAGTATCTTCAGCTTTTAGCATCTTTCTTTCACCTGAAATGAGGAATCAGCTCAGTGTGCTGTCACAGCACCTGTCAAGTGGTATCTCTGTGCCTCACCAAAGCAGTGGAGAAGGCCTGCCAACAGCAAGGCACATCAGAGATGCTTTAAGCTTCTTTGCAAAAGCCTCGAAGGCTTAGCTATACCTTTTTGTGTGGTGTTCTTTTCTGGGGAGTGGGTGTTTGTTTGTAGTTACTTTAAGTTCTTGCTTTGAATATGGAGCTCTATGACTGTGGAGTGGTCCATGCCTTGCAAAAAGCCTGTGACATTTAACTTGAGTCAGATCAACATCTGAGACCTTGACCCAGCCCAAATTTGTGACTTCATTATAGGATGACGTGAAAAGAGCATTATTTTTAAAAAGTATCTGTCTTAAATAATACAAGGGTAGCTCTTGAAAGCCACAAGAAGGCCCCCTCTCCAAATGGATGATTGAAAGTAATAGTGAGCGGTCAAATACGTGAACTCGGTAATGCAAGAACCTGTCCTATGAAGACTGAACTTGAAGACTTTCTTCTTCCTCCACAAGCCCCAAGAGGTTTTCTGTGAGGGCAGGAATATTTGTTCAGTCTCCATTGTAAGTTGCTGCTTTGTCCCATCTGCTGCATGCCTGGATGGCCAGAGAAAGACTTTACTCACGTGAATGTATTTCAGACAGTTCTGTAACAGGAATTGTGTGCAACTGGCTTTCAAACTTGCTCACTGCACTCTTGTGGGAAATGGGGCTCAAAATATAAATGTAAAGGACATTTATTTCCTTGATTATCATCAGCTGGTTTTGTAGTGAGTCATAGGGAGTGCTGGTGATTCCTCTTTTTAGGCGAAGTGTATAGGATGATGAAATGAATACAAGCTATTTTAGATGGGAATCATGATACCGTTTTAGATGTCTGTATTTGAGCCAGATGCTTAGGGCTCCTTTTATAGCTAGTGAAGAGAAATAGGAACTTCTAGTCTTGATTTGTCTGACTCTATTTGAGTTACCTGATTTAGAATAAAGTGAGTTTTGCTCCAGTGGTGCCTTTTTCTGTTCACTTACGAATCAAGATCACTAAATTACATCTAGATACCAAAATGTGATTAAGTGAATCCCAGGTAGTAAACACTGAACAACACATACAATGTAATAAATAAGCAGAAAATGTGTGGAATTTTTGTTTCAATGGACTTAGATGTTTTACAAGAAAGCATACATCCAAACTGAGTTTCAAGCTTTTGAATATTCTTTGGAGAGAGAATATCTGTAGTTTCGCTTCACTGCAAGCTCATAAAGAGCTTATTATAATAATCATCTCATAAAGAGTATACTATTCAGCTCATCTGTACTGCTGTCTTTAAATTTTCAGCTGCTTTCTCCTTTCCACAGCCTTCATGAAGTTGAAATTAATGAGCTATCCCAACTATGGTATTGTTTTATTTCTCAAATTTCATATTTCAAATATTTCTGTATTAATTATTTAGGGAGGTGTGTTCATGTAGCACTTAAGGCACATCTCATCCTAAGTGCAGAGAGAAAGCATCTGAAATCCACACTACTTTTCACGTGATGTTTGTTATGTCTCTTTTCAGAAAAATTCAGGTTCTTTTTTAAAACCATTGAAAGTAGAATACATTTTGCATTGGAGTTGTGCAATTACATTTTAAATTCCTCCAGTCCTAATTTAGCAAGTCTTTCAGTAACAAGGATTCTTAAAAACCAGACAGTTTCTGATTGAATAAATGTGCAAGACAAAGTCAGAGGGTACTCCCAGTTTCATCACAAATTGTTCAGTATACATTCTTTTTGACGAATAAAACCAGTCCTCATCACAGACAACGGCTGGACTTGCTTAGTCATCCAAATACAGGAATCTGCATGTGACCTCAGTTGTCTGAGGAGCCATTGTGCTCAGTGGAGATATCCATAATGCAGTTGCTGTAGAGGTTGCAGAGCTGCTCAGCTTACCCTAAAATAGGTGTCAAGCAGTGGCGGGTCAGAACCTCTCTGGAGGCTTCATTGTGACTGCATTGTCTAGATCAGGTGCAGCTGATTGTAATGGTGCATCTAGCCTGCAGGTGGGCAGGTAAACTGAGTTGTCTGAAAAACATGTATAAAACATTAAAATCATCGGTTTCTGTCCATTGGCATTGCGTTTTTTATTACCTGGAGGCATTTGAAGTGTGACATTGCAGTGGGTCATGCGTTCTGTGCCTCCAGTTAGTATGAAATAGAAGTCATATTTAATTGTGGCAGGCATACAGGAAGTTACAGTATTGGTGAAGTTATAGAAAATATATAAATCATTTACTGGGAGGATAGTAAGTTCTGAATTTGATTTCTTAGAGGACCTGTACAGAGATAAGGCTGCACATATCTTTGTCAGAACAAACAAAAGGTTATAGTGGTTCAGGTTTTGGTGAGCTTGGGAGACTGAAATGAAGACTGCAGCATTTAAGAAAAGATGGAAGATTAAGAGCTGAGTAAATTTTCAAATCTACGTTCAGGGCAAAATAATTGGATCTTAGGAATGTTGAGAAGGGAGAAGCTGTAAATTTTCTACGTAGAGAGAGGACTCTACAGTGACTTGCAGGTTACGCTCCTGAGTGGAGAGAGAGAGAGAAAGGAGTGTCAGGATGGTAGTGTTAAAAGGGGCAGAGAATTGAGTTGGCAGTCAGAAGTGTCACACCTGTTAATTTAAATTGAGTAGAGAGAAGTGACAAACTGACAAACATTTGGGTGTCAGTGAGGGAAGTTGCAGAGAGGGAAGGGAGTAGGAGATCTGGGCAGAGTTTTGTGATATTACATACAAAAATGTGAGAATCCATGTGTGTGGATGTGGATTTTGAGAATTTTGATGTGGATTCATGGATGTGGATTTTGAGAATTCCAAAAATGTGTGAAGTATCCAGTGAAAGACACGAAGAAATTACTGCATGGATAAGAGCAACACTAAGAATGGGCTGTACAAGCCAAAAGAACAGATTTCCTCTCATTCTCTCATTTAAGAACATTTAAGGTTTGTGTGAAAAGAATCCAGAAGTTTTCAGAGTCTGTGGTTTTGGAGACATTCAGAAATCATTTCAGCGAAGCGCAGTACTGGTAAACCAGATTGTTTACTTTCATATTCCCTGCTGATCTGGAGTAAGTGTAGATAGAGCAGGTGAATTCTAAAACAAAAGGTGTGATTAAGAACTGATTAGGAAGCAAAGAATATGTTTCAGGTTTTTTGGTTGCAGGGGAAGACCACAATAAGGTTGAATGTGAAGGCACTGAAGTCAGCGTTGATAGTTGTTAATTTGGGGGGGAAATTGCACAGCCACAGGGAGATGATGTGATGAAGAGGTAATAAAAACTGAAACGGGAGGAGAGAGAGAATTAGAGAGGAGGTCCAGCAAGTCACCATTTTATCTTTGATGAGAAAGAAGGCTGGGAAATAGTTTTTATCTTTGTGCTCACCTTTCCGGGGTGGGTTGCCAAGTTTGTAGCATAAGAAGGGAAAGCAAAGACTTTAAGTTTTGCTATGAGAGCTGTTCTCAAATGATTTAATCTGATCTGAGATGATCTCTCTGAATACATATTTTTGATATTAAAGCAAATAATTTCATACCTTTGAGGCTGCAGGCACACTTAGCAAGGTCTCAGCAATTTCTCAAATAGTCTTGTGTTGCTTTGTTTTAGTAGATTTGAATAGAAAGCTGAAAGGCCTCCAATTCCAGGTCAGAATGTATTCATTTCTGAGATTAGGAGCATAAATGCACCCATCAGTTCTCATGTATAGCTTGAACCTTCTGTAATGAATGGTATCTTGATGCTAATGATTTAGCCTATTATTCTAATTTTAAATGACCCGTTTGTGAGTGGCATCAGACAGGATAGTGGCAGGGAAGTATCAAGAGAAATTGAGCCTTTTCTACTACAAAGAGCAAGTGCGAGTTGCTTCCTTTTTTTTTTTAATTCAGCAGTCATACTAGTCAACTATTCTAGACAATCTAAAATTAATGGTATTAAACTGCATTAGTATTAATCACAGTAAATTTAATTTATGCAATTCTGTGTAAGTTATCTTTTTTCTCTTCCCCCCCCCACCCCACCCCCCCCAAGTATTTTGCATTGGAAAATAGGCTTGTTTACATTGTGGGCCTGAAGTCATCTAAAATGCTGCTTGTTAGTTTCAGAGGAGCACAAGGGTGTAAATACCAGTCCTTTTTTATACAGTTACAGCATTATCTGTGGGTTTGAGCATTTGAAGAGGGTAGGTAGACGAAGGAAATACTGGTAAGTGTTAGAAAATTTCAATTTCTGAAAAAGTGGATTTATATGATACAGCAGTAACAAATGGCAGGACCAAGACGGTATTATCAATTGAACATACCATAAGTAAAAATAGAAATTATTTAGGTAGTAGTAATTAAACATTGCAAATGTGTGTGGGAACATATATGGTTTTATAAAGAACTTTCCTACTGTGTCACTAATCTTCTAATATTCTGTGCTGTGTTCTCTACAAAACTACAGTAAAACAGACAGCAGTCACTCTCACCTTTCCAAAAAAAGGAATGTAGCAGTCTTAGTGGTGAAGGTGGTAGTGCAGTACAGCACAGTTTTGCAGGTGGAAGAGGCAGTGGCACCTATGATGTCAAAATACTGTGGGTTAGAAATTAACTCTACCAGACTTGAGGAAATTGCAGAACTAGGATCTTAAAACAATGTACCTTTGTATGTATTTGTCAAACGCAGAAGTTTAAAGTGATGAATCTCTAGTTTAATCAACAACCCATGAAGAACTGCTTAGATTTGCCAAAAGAAATAAGAAACTAGAGAAAAGGTAATTCTAGCAGAGTGAGGTCGTGACCACTGACTCACAGACCACCTATCCCAGTTATGCCACTGACTTGAAAGAAAAAGAGTGGAAGAGAAGAACTAAGCGTGTGTATCTCCACTCTGTGGATTGGCTCTTTGCACACCAGATGATGAACCCAAGTTTTGGGACACCACCTATAGCGAAGTTTTCCTAACCAATACAGTTGTAAGAACCTGTTTGGGTTGTTTGTAACTAGCCAGGCTTTCAGACAAACTCTGTGGAGGACAACTGTCTTCCTGTGCTGTTGGTGGGAAAGAGAAGGTAGATGCACCTGGAGTGCAAAATAAGCAGTGAGCAGTGTGAACAAACAGATTTGGAATGATAGTAATGACAAGTTTTCACAACCAGTATAGTGCGTTCATCTCCAGAACCATGAATTGAACCCAAAGATCTCAATTTTCATCACTTCTCTTCTGTTCGGATTCTATCTGAGTCTCCTTCATATCTTCAGGTTTTCTTAGTGGGAGAGAACTTGGACTTGGGTCTTCAGCTTCCCTGCAGAGTACCGTAACCACCAGGCCAGTAGGTAGATGGTGTTTCCAGCTCTGTTTTTGGAGCAAGCCATCTAGGCAGAAGAGATTACACAGATGTTTTAGAAACTGAGGAGGAGAAAATATGACTTGGAAGCCTGGTGACTGAGGTACTCACTTGGAATTAGGGGCCCAGGTCTCTATGTTCAGGTCCATATGTATTTCAAAGCGAACTCTGCTAGACTTAGTTCTGAACATACATGGAAGCTGACTTAAAATGGCGTGTAAAATCTTGGATCTTACATGTACAAAAACAGATGTATGGTTTTTGCAATCTTGACTTTTTTTCTTAATAACAGTATATTTTTGAACATGGGAGGAATACTGAAATTTTCTTGGGTTTTGTTTTATTGCTTTGTAAGATTAGTCAACCTAAAAATTAGACGATGTTATGTTTTCTTTGTCAGCACCCTTTCTTAGATTATCCTAGCTCTTGTCTTCCATTTTTGGGGGATTCTTATTCCAATTCTTATACTTCATTATGGAGTGTGAGAGCTTTAAAATTAATTCTCTTGCTTTTGTCCTAAATAAAGGGGTTTTTGTTTTGCTTTTTTTTCTCTTTTGCTTTCCTTAATTCATATCTTGTATCCTGTTTTCTTTCCTACTGCTTACTTTTTTCCTTTTTCAGTTCCTCCTCCTTGTTTCTCCTCCAGTTCCAACTCTTAACTGTCAACTGAATGAAATTATACTTGGATTACAGTCTTTTTTTTCTGTGAAACTGACTGGTGCAAAGTATTCCTGCACATAGAGCATTTCTTTCCTCATGTGTTTTTAAAGACAGACTTTTTAAGTGTGGCTAGGTAATGTATGTAATTGCCAAACTTGCATTTAGGTGAGGCCTTTAATTGTTCAGATTTCAATACCTTTTCCATGTACGAAGGAGTACAATAGGAATATAGAATATTTTAAATTGCTCAGAGAAGTTGATTTGGTAATGATACAACTATGGCCAGTTGTGTTGTTCCTGTACCTTTTCACTATGGTGGTGTAAACTTACTGTGTTAACCTTGAAAATAAAATTCAAGTCTAGACTACTAAATTTAGCTGTTGTTATAGTTTTTAAAAAATGAAAAATTATGTAGGGTGTTCCTAAATAGGATTTTGTCACACGGTTTTATAATATTCGCTGTTTTTATTTCTTTTGATGTCCAGTTGACATTCTAAGGCAATGTGACAGAAATGCTGTTTCCCACTTGTAGTTTGTTGTCAGAATATTTCAAGGAGAGAAGAAATAAATGCTGACTATATGATACTATCTGTAGTACCAATTCTTGTATTCTCTGTTGTGTAGGCTATCAAGTACTAGCTCCCACTGCCTATTACGATCAGACTGGTGCCTTAGTAGTAGGCCCTGGAGCAAGAACTGGCCTTGGAGCACCAGTCAGATTGGTGGCCTCAACTCCTGTGATAATCAGTTCTGCAGCAGCACAAGCGGGTAAGAATTTGGTCTGGCATGGAGGTTTCTTCCACTTTTGTACTGAACCTTAACAGTAATGTTGGTTGATTAGTATTTGGTATTGTTAATGTGTTTTGTATGCGTCTGTGAAGTTTTCTAGTTGCGAAGGATACACCATACATGCTCTTTCTTACTATGTTGCCTCCCTTTCCTTGAGAGACACTACTGTTTCTTAGGGATGTAGTTTTCCCTTTTTAATTCAAATTTACAGTCCTCTCCCCATACACATACACGCATGTTTCTGCAAATGTTGCTTGTCAGATATGAACATTTTCCTTTTTTCCTCTCCCCATGCATATAACATGCACTTCTCATCAGTTCCCTAAATGGTGTCCTCTAGGAAGCATCATTTCATTGCTTCGGCCTGGCAGAAGATGATGGAGTGCTCTGGGGCCTTGCCATACCTTTTCTCTTGAAAGTATTTTCTCCTGGAAAGTGTGGCAAGGAAAAGAACAGTACAATGGACAGCAGAAGAGGAGAATTAGTTAAATTAAAAATCTCTAGTTTTCTTTTACTCTTTTTATCCGTGATAGGATCTGGTACTACTTTACTGAACCATTATATCTATTGCATTTGTTAAATTAAAATCCAAAATACTAATATCAGATTAATTAAATTGATCTGTTCAGAAAATCAGATTTTAAGTTTATCTGTAGCTTCTTTTTATACACAGAACTCGCTTCTGACATTAGTAGCCAAAGATGTCTTTGAATGACTCTTAGCTGCAACTCTGGTATTGCAGCTTTGGATATAAAAGTACAGTTCAGTAAACAATAATGTCTTATATGTTTACACTGAAAAATTCCCTCAATTACATTAACAATTCTACAGCCTTGATTAGCCTACAACATATGCTGTCTTCATTTTTTTGCCTTGTGTGATTAAGATTGTAATACGATAAAGTCTCTTTGAGTCCTTTAATATATGAATTTCTGCTTGTTTAAGAGGGCTTCGAGAAAATACGATTTAGATCTGAATAGTCAATTTTCAGCCAGAAATGTTTAAGAGAGTAATTATGATTGAAAACGTGTGTTTTACAGCTGCAGCTGCTTCAGCTGGAGGAACAGCAAACAATCTCGCGGGAGCCACGAACGGTCTATTTCGGCCACTTGGTGCCCAGCCACAACAACAGCAACAGCAAACAAACAGTAGCCTACAATCCAATTCATTTTATGGCAGTAACTCTTTGACCAATAACTCCCAGAGCAGTTCCCTTTTTTCACATGGTCCTGGCCAACCAGGAAGCACATCTCTTGGCTTTGGAAGTAGCAGCTCTTTAGGAGCAGCTATCGGCTCTGCACTTGGTGGATTTGGCTCATCAGGTAGGTTACTAATATAGTGAGGAAATTCTGTGAGACTTTAATGTTAAGCAAAAAAATGTATCTATATCCAGATATATTATATACACATACATTTCTAAAAAGAATACAAAAACAGGTTATTCAAGTTAAAAATAAATTATAAGGAAAGAAAAAGGATTTTTTTACTTCACTTGGGCTCTGTATACAAGATGCATTTTTGAAGAATATCCTGTAGTCATAGATATCTCCAAAATACTTTTCCATATTGAGCACTGTACTCTGCCCCAGAAGTTTGTTATTGTTTTCAGTAAGCTTTTTTCGTTTTCAAGGAAATATTCATTCTGTGTTTAAAAAAACAATTGATGACTTTTGAGATGTGCATTCTTTTGTTGTAATTTTCATGTCAGGAAAATTCCTCATTTCTAAAAAAAATAATAAGTAGCATATGCCTTTCTAAATTTGATCTAATATTGAAGTGTTTGTTTCCATAACGTTTTTAATAGGATTTATAAAATGGAAAGACTTAATATCCAAGAATAGTTCTTGCTAACTTCAGTAAGTTTAATCTTAGATACAGTTAAGCATAAATAGTTCTGTGCAAGTTTGGGGCCTTAAATTATTTCAACAGATGTTCCTGAATATTATCAACTTGTTTGTATTTTAAAAAATAAAAACAAAAACAACAAACAAAACAAAACAAAAGCACAACAAAAAATCAGAAACAAAAAATATTGCCACTATGTTGCTGCTCTATGGCAGAAGTTTTTATTCTCACAGTTTTTAAACATGTAAGGTAGGTTTTCTTATATTTCAAGTTCAATATTAGTAAGGCAAGCAAAATATCTTTTCTAAAGAATCTTTCCTTTGGCTATTAATCTCTAAGGTACAGAACTAAATTGCTTATTATTGTTAATTATTTTAATGAAATCACTGGAACGTGTTTATAATTTTACGTATCTTGCAGATGGGTAGAAATTGGGGAAAATCTGTGTGCTCTAACAATGTTCTTTTCAAAGTTAAAAACCCCAAGGGAAATAATTTTTAAAAAAATTGTTGAAAGAAAGATTGTTACAAGATAGCTTAATATATGGAAAAACAGAAGGAAAAACACGCCCTTCAGTGTTAAAACATGATACTTGTTATTTGTTAACTAAGTGGAAGTGAATAGTGACATCAGGTATACCACACGCTAGCACCGAGATTTTTCTCAGTGTTTTTTTTCATAAAATAATATGAAAAATTATTTACTTTAACAAAACTAATGCTAGGAAATCCGGAATAAAGTTTTACACTGATACTTTCTAATATCTGATTTTAAAGAGTGGAGTAGGAGACTCTAAACATACCATCTTTAATTTCAAATAAATAAATAGATAAATAGAGACTACTCAGTTGTGTAGAGTTTCTTAATTTTCCATAATACCACAGCAGGTAAATCTTATTTACAAAGTAATTGTGCTATCCAAGTGCTGTATTTTGTAATATAATTTGTCCTGAGCTACTTGTAGGATTTCAGTGAATTCTTAGCAGCTGTGTTTCGCTCTAGGTGCAGTTTCATTCCATTGATAGGTAGCGATCATAAGTTTACCTGCATATTTAATGCAGTGCACCCATTTTAAGTCTCTAGATAGAATAGTTTTAAGTTATAAAAGTCTTTATCCAGCATTACCACAACCCCCATAAAATACAAATTTTAGTTGTGTATCTACTTAAGAAGAATCATCATAGTTCTTTCTGGCACAGGAGATTAGGCCTTTTTCTTGTAGCAAAGGTCAGTTCCACTGCTTTGTCCAAAGCCTTTCAGCATAGACAGCATGCGCTGAAATCTTGCAGCAATATCCTAGGTGATTTAATTAGCATAGTAGTTTCCACAGGGAAGCAGGAAGCCTATGCTTTTGCGGTTTGAGAAGTGCTGATGAAAGGTGCTATCTAAACCTGAAATATTTTTAGTAGTATTGTTGGAATAAAAGTATATTGAAAGTGCCCTTCTGCCAAGTATAAATTGTACTTGTCATAATAGCCACTTAAAAAATGCTTCCGGATTATTTTTTTTTAAAGAGTTCCAGAGCTGTATGCAATATGAATTGAATTCCACAGATGAGTACTTACACAAATAGCATTAATGCATGTTAAGGGAAATTAAAAACAAGTTTAATTCTATTTCCCAAAGTTTCAGCTTCTTTGTAACTCCAGTGTGTTGTAAAGGTTGAATTTCAATTTGAAGACTGACCGATAGCAGTACAGGTCTTGCCCTTATGTTTTCAGTTGTTGCGGGGGGGGGAAGCTTTGCAAAAAATGCAGAGGTGAGCATGTTCTAGCTGAATGACTGAACAACAAAGTAAAAAACAGGAAGAGGCCAGCATACCATATGAATGGCTGTATGTACTTTACAGTCGGTGCTCTTCTATTGTAAAGTTATTCATACTCCATCTTCAAGGGTGAGGTATGTGATAAGTTACTGCAGCTTAACAGGTAACTAAGAATTAGATCAGCTACAGCAGCTTTCCAGATGCCTGCTTCTGGCTTGTAGTAAGTGTAAAGTAATTGCATTAGCTTAGGCAGTGGTGAAGAGGGGTGAGCCTAATTCAAATTATCTTCTGGTTTTTGTGAGCTTTGCTTGTGTGTGTGTGAAAATGCAGCTCGACTGGTTCATGGTGACTTGTTAAGCTGCAGTAATTTAGCTGAGTAAGAAACCCTGAAAGAAAGCTAAAGTTTGCTTAGCTTTTTTCATAGCTGGAAAAATAACAAGCTATCACGTAGTATTGTGTTAACATTCACATGGTTACCAGTTGAGCCAGAACCTGTAGAGCTAGTCTCAAATCTTGAGGCTTCTTTCAACTGTTGCCTTAATTTGCTCTTCTGATTTCTTGTTCTCAGTCTCCCTGCATAGTTAGTGCAGTATCTTTTCCTTCTGGCTCCTCCTGTAGTATACCTTCCTTCCCAGTTTCCACACAACATTTATCTCCCGCTTCCCCACCCCCTCCCAAATATGTTTCTGTTTCTGCTTGTACTGTGTGATGTTTCCATCATCAGCTTACTATTCCAGTCTTTTTGCCCCACAGTCACATATACCTTCTGCAGCCTAACTCTTCTTTAGATCTGCTTTCTTTTCACCCTCAGTCCCACTGGTTTTGAAAGTGCTTGCCAGTTTTTCTTGCAGTCTCCTTTGTCTGTCTCTCCTCCTGGTTCTGTGTTTTTTCTTTCTATCTCTTTTTTCACTGGTCTATTTCTTATGTTTGGCTTTTGTCTCCTCTGCATTTGAAGTAGAAAACCTTCTTTCCACACTGCCTGAAGGGCCTCCCAAACAGAAGGTGGGATCTTGGACTGCAGTTTCAGAGACATTTTTGGCATGGCACAAGGAAGCCTAGAAGTTCAATTGCAGGGAAAACCTTTAGGAGTCGTCTCAGACGTGCCATGTATGGACAGGAGGGTTTTTTCAGCTATGAGTCTGTAACAGATCTGTGCTGAACTTCTGTGAACTGATTGTGCTAAGATTTTTAGCTCAAAGAGAGCATGAAACTAAAGGTCTCCTGTTGCTAGCATATCAGGCTGAGTACGTGAAAGCATTAACTTTGAATAATAGGTAGATGGATTATTTTGCTGAGAATAAAGCATCTTTACTTTTCTGTTTTTTTGAAATGGCAATATTGTTTGGGCAGAACTTCTTTGAAAACTTTGGTCCAAGCAGGTACCTGCCATGAAAAGTATTAGCCACACTCATAACATTAGCCTAATGTTATGAGAAAACAAATTAGTGTCTTAAAATGGGAAGTATCAGGTGACCTTTATATGGGGCCATGCTGCCAGCTTTAGCAGGAAGGTGCCTGACAAGGGTAAAGATTATGGAAGTATAAATTCTGACTTTTTCCTTTTCAAGTTGAGTAGAAATCAAATTCAGCTTAAGAAGCGTCTTTGTTACCAAAATATCCATAATCTTGGTTCTGTTTGTGAGTATAATAATGTTCCAGTGTTTAAAATAGGCACTCTAGTTTAATATTTCACTAGTATGGAACAGATACTAGAATTTAACATTTCTAAAAACTTTGTATTCTCCTAATTTATCCTAGACTGTTCATCACCCTGCTGAATGATGCTGTGCAGGATAACCAGTCCTTCACTAATACACTGTTATCCAAAGCTTCTGGTCTAATTTGACTTTCAGAAACACTGGTAGCAGTAAAATCATATTTTTGGTTTCTGCCCTTAATTTTCCTCTCTCTGCTCTGCTTCTCATCTTCTTCTTAGCCTATTCCCTCTTTATAGTGTCTTTTCAAAACACTTCTTTGAGAACCATAATTCTCATAGGGAATTTTAAGTAGTCATTTTTTTCCTACAGGTGAGGGGTTCCAGAAACAGCTGAACAGCAACATAGATTATTTTCTGAACCCTTAAACAGCAGCCACCAATTGTCTCTAGCCTTTTTCCTGAAATCGAGTATCACTGACTAGTAATTTATAGTGGAAAACTTTATCAAAGAGTTTAGTGGAAATATTTTTAGAATCATTTATTCTATAAAGTGACAGTGTAATCAAATCTCATGAATTCCATATTTGTCCCAAAGCCTGAAGCCAGGCCGTTAAACCAGAGTACTGCAATATTACTAGAATGAAATGTTGAAAGACATGGGCCTTGGTGAAATTACTTATCAGTGGTATGTTTATACCCACTTAGATGTACTTAAAAGCATGTGTGGTTATCACAGTAATTGTCTTTGTCATAACGATTGCTGTAATTATTGTGATCGCATCTGTTATTGCCCAGCTGTAGTTGGGGATAGGTTTTATTCAGTTGACACTGTGTAATTAGGGTCTTTTTATTTCTTCTTCAGTTGGCAGTTCTGCAAGTAGTAGTGCCACAAGGAGAGATTCTCTATCTACTAGCTCTGACTTGTACAAAAGATCTAGTAGCAGCCTAGCACCCATAGGGCAGCCATTTTACAATAGTCTGGGATTTTCCTCCTCTCCAAGTCCAATAGGCATGCCTCTGCCAAGCCAAACGCCAGGACATTCACTTACGCCACCGCCATCACTTTCATCACATGGATCCTCATCCAGTTTGCATTTAGGTAAAAAAAACAAAAACAAAAAACCAAAAAAACACTTTTTGTTTGTATGTGTGTATGTATTTCTGTGTGTAAAATATATGTTGCATAAGAGATGTCACATTACCTTTGCTGTTAAACAGTTTTGTAATGAAGAGGGGCCATTCCTGAAAGGTGAAGAGCACGTTCAAATGCTCATTGATCTGGCAGTGGAGGGCACTCAGCTTTTTACTGTATTGGGCCAACAACTGACTTTTCTTCCCTTGCAGAAGCCCTATAGAGAGCCCAGTAAGAATTTTTGGTCCTTTTTGTATTATGTTTCTACAGTATGGCACACAAAGGTGCATTATTTTTGTTTCTACTTCAGTGTATTGCCACTTTAAGGACATTTTAAGATTATGTTGTGTTTAACAGTGAAGTGACTTTCACTACTGCCCCTTGCCATGATCAAGTAGAAAAGTGAGCAAAGCTCTCAGTGTATTGAGCTGCGTATTGAAAGGTGATTTTTGAATCAGTGAGCCTACTACCTCATGGCCCAGATGCTTTGCCAGGAAGACAATAGTTTATTACCAGGCTGGTGGAAAAAAAGAAAATGCACTTGTGGAAGAAGTAGCAAAGGCTTTGTCAGTGGTGGCGCTCTGTTCTCGGATATATATTTTAAGGAATGATAGTGGTAATCTTTTAAAAAAATTTTGAGTGAGTTAGATGACATAGGAGCTCAACCTTAAAAAACAAACAAACAAAAAAAAACCTAAAGAAACCCCACCACAGCCTACAGTATATTTAGAAGAGAATGCCTCTAACCTGAGGTTACTTGATAAACTTTCCCTTTTATCTCTGCAAATATTTGGGGTCATTTGATTTGGATGCTAAAATCATACAGTAAAACTGGATATCATTTCAAGATTCTGTGATTGAGTTGCCTGTTGCTCTAGTAACTATTTGGTGCACAGTTTTGTGCGTGTAATAGGCAACCTAATACCCTGTACTTCTGTTAGTGCAAATAAAACAGGAAAAAATGTAAAAGTGCCTACCAAAATACACTTCAACTGAGAAATGTGCAAGTGATTTCTATGACAAGGTTAAAAGTAATTTAAATATATTACATTTACAGTTCATTATCCCCTTCACATTTAAGTGCTGAATACCCGAAATAATACTGGGCAAGGGGATGTTTCAGCACATTTTATTTTTTTTACTTACCTTTTTTCCTTTTTCAGGTCTACAAAGTGCACCTTTGGGCTGAGACCAAGCATGGAAAGTTTCAGCCCAAATGGAGGCTTTTGAGAAAGTTCTGAACATCTGACAATGGGGTTATCGTGGAAATCTTTTTCTTTCTTTCTTTTCAAAGTACTCTCACAATAGTTTTCATATTACTGAAAACTATACTTAAACTAAATTTTGGAAGGCATTATCTAAAATTCAAAACACTTGAAAGTTTTGTGTTGTTTCACATTTGATAAATGTTAAAAGATTTTTTTCAGTTCTGAGAAAATATAAGCTGCAGTCAGTATAGAGGATTACCTCTATCAGAAGAAATTTTTAAGTACTGATTTTAATCAGTTTTGGACTGTTTGGCAGTGTGAACTAAGCATAATAGTTTGTTAAAATCATGTACTAGATTAGTATCTAAAGGCCAGAATATATAGTTGTACTCTGAAAATTGACACAACCTTGTTGGCTTCAATGTATACTGCCTCTTCATCTTCCAAGTGAAGTGGACCTTGATTATGGGTAAACTTTTTGCTACCTTACCAAATCAATAGGAAATTTGGAAATTGAGGTCTTTGGATTTTTGATTTCACAAAAATGCAGTAATATTTTTTTTTAGCATTTCCTGCACTCTGCCTTGTGTCATATCTTTGTGCAGTTCCTTTAAAGGTGCACCGTTGCAAAAAGTTGAAGACTGTTTATGCAGTTAGTTGTCTTTCCTGTTAAATTTATTCTGATGTGTTCATCAGCCACTCTTGGAAGTGTTTGTTTTGTTCTTACATATATAATAAAAAATAAGAAATAATAATAAAAAAAATTAAAAAAGGCAAAGCTTTCTCACCAAATGGGAAGTTGTACCTGAAATCAAACAGGGAGTATATTTTAAGAAGGGTATGATTATCACATAGTCACTTTTCAGAGTAGAACAACATTGTAAGTTCATGTCTGCATGCAGTTTCCATTAGTATTCTGATAATGCCTGTCAAATGCAGCTCTCCCTCCACCTTCAAAACTTGTTGTCCTGCCTGCTTATATCAACAGGTTCAGCTAAGTTTAACTCCTATTTTAAAATGGGCATCAAACTCGGTTGCTCCTGTCTCAGCCACCAGAATACTAGAGCACAATACTGGGAAAGGTTGCATGGTTTTATAACCCCTTTGTCAGACACTACTGTAATCTGTAGCTTAAAAGACCAAATCTCCCTTTTACAAGAAATTTGTGTTATCTTACTGTTTTTATCTCTTCTCAGGAACTCTTATCCAACATGCTGAAATAGGAATGTGCTAATTACTTTGTGCTAGTGTCAGTTTTCCTGTATTTGAAGGGATTTGTCAGTTGTCTGTAACTGCTTCTTTTTCTGTAATTGGTTGGAGCAGTTAAGGTCATGAATTTGAACTACCCTTTCACTCCCAGGGACAAAAAACTACAAGAGGAAGTATTTTTCCTATATTATAAAAAAAATTCTTTTAGATTGGTAGTGCTTACTCTGTTTGATAGTACATTGCAGCATTTTAAGGGTTTGTAGAGTAGGATTTTTAAAATCTGGACTTCTGGAGGTAATTATTTTTTGTGCATTGCAAGCCAAGCTTGTTAGTAGTTTAGATTGATGATAGTTTATCTTCAGAAGTGGTCATTCTGGGCAAGGGTAAAGGTTGCTTGGCAAGACAGGTCCCCCCCAGTATGTGGAACTTTGTGTTGCCTCTGCTGTGTACCTACTCTGTAGGACTTTGGTAAACCAGGCGTAATAAGCACGTTGCATTGATATGTATGTGTAATTCTGTTTTCCATATGAAAATGAAATTTTTAGCTGAGGATGAGATGAAGCTACTTCTTTACAGACAAATACTTTGTAGAAATCAAGATCAGGTTGTTTATATACTTGTACGTGTTTTACTAGAAAATAATATTGCTGACTGATTTAAAAAATAGTTACTGTGCAGTAAATCTATTTCATGTCTTGGTTAGAAACGATTGAAGAAATAATTTGGTAATAAGCACTAACAGACTAATGCTTTCAAAATAAATAGATCTAGTTTTTAATATTTTTTCATGTTCTCCTTTACATTTAAATATGCTATCCTTATTAAGGAGTTAGTAATTCAACATGCTTTGTGTCTGTGAAGCTTGGTAAGGCTCTGGTTTGGATGACCTATATCCCCTTTACACCTCTGTGCCTCTTCTTCCTTATGGACTAGCCACGGGGATTTAGGTTCTGTTAAACTGTGAAACAACTTAATAGTTGTTGCATCAGAGACTTTTGCTCTAGGAGATCAGAAATGATAGCTAAGTGATTATCTGGAGAATGAACTGCACGCTTTATTCCCCAACAATTTGTAATTGTGTGGATATACTGATGCCTGATAAGTCTTCTAAATCTTCAGTGTTTGCAGTGAAACTTCAGTTTAGACTGGTTGCTTCATGCAGTAGGCTATGTTCCCCAAATAATTGGTATCAGAACCTGTAGAACAAGTGTGCTGAGTTCTTGAAGAGCACGGGGATGCGGTAGGCTAACCAGGAGAATTTGTGTAACTAGAATTCAGATTGCAGTTTTCCATTTCTAAGCTGTTCACACTCAAGAGTTTTCAGGAAGGAGACCAGGTGTCCTTAATGTCCACACTAATGTTTTGGTGGGTTTGGACTCAGGAAGTAATGAGTACAATATTTAAGAAATAGTCCATTGTATACAAGAGTATATCTGCATGTAACAAGTACCTATGAAAAGATGCTTTTATTTTGAGGGTTTTACTGTTTTTCAAATCTGCAAAGTTGCCACTGAGCTATAACACTGCTGCTGTAATAAAAGGTTACATTAGAAGAAAAGCTAATTAATTACCTGTTAAATTACTGCTTTTTTGTAAGTGCCCAGAGCTGTACAAGGTTAAGCTTTGTGTGTGCTTTGGAAGTATGACAGGTTCCCCTAAACACAGTGGATATGTTTTCAGCCTTCGAGTATTATGATCTTGCTTAACTTGATTGTCTGAAGTAGTTTCACAGGCTGTACAGGAGTCTCCCAGTTGCAGCATGGTCGTCTTACAAGTCGTAAAAAGGGTTGGTTCCCAAATTAGACTGAAGAAAGGCTTGATAATCCGAAGTGGGAAGTGTCTTGTGTACATGCAGTTCTACTACATACATATATATATATAGTGTATTAAAAGCTACCAAGTTTCTTAATTTACACTAACATGAAGGCCCAGTTAAAAAAAAAAGAAAAGCTGAAACAGTTCCTGATTCACATGTGCAATTCCATGGCTGTATGCGAACTAGAGCCATGCGATTTGTGAGCATATAATCGAAACTACCCTATTAGTTTCTGGCACAGAGTTGAGCATGTGACCCGTGGAGCAATAGAGATGCTACAACTGGAAAGTAGGCTTCAGGAATTCCTTTTAAAAGGGCTTTGCTGCCCTCTCGTGGCTTTAAACAGTGTTATTTCACAGCATTTACAGGGAAGCCAGGATTTCATTCATATATTTAAATAATCTAGGTAAGAAATACCATCATTTCAGGTGCATAACTTTGTTCTTCAGAAGGCAATTCCAAAAGAGAAATGGCTGTAGAGTGTCACTCAGCATACTGCTTCACGTGCAGAGTGCTGGGTTTCTTTTTTCTTTTTGTCTGTTAGTCTCATGTCACGGTTGGCTCTTTTCTGGAAATAGTAATTGACAATGGAAACTTAAAATGATAGTTAAAAAAACCTTGATTTTTATGGCTGTAAAGAACTTAAGAGGCTTTAATTTTCAAGAAAACCTAATGGTTTTTAAAAGGTATTGTGGGGCATAAAGGATTTTACTGAGTCTTAGCACTGAATTTTCAAAACTAATTATAAAATAAATACTGATTATTTCTATTTTAGGCTATAATCCTACACAGTGCAATAAATGCAATGCTTGAGACATCTTGCAGAGCACTAACATCTCAGATTCTGGTATTGTAATTTGACCTTTTGAAAAAGATACTTTACCATTAATACATTACCAGCCCGCTGTAACACTCTTGTTGCCTGGCCTTATAAATACTCAGAAAGAAAAGAAGGCTTGGCTGGGGCACTGTCAGATGATTTCTTTTTTTTTTTTTTTTTTAATAATTTTGTAATAGAGCACCATTCAAACAGCACATACTGCAATTTGTTTTAAATTCAAATGTAGATATTTCTTCTGTTGACTTTGAAAGGGCTTTCTATTATTATGTCACCTTATAGGTAGAGAAACTGAAAATGCTTTCCTTTTCCAAGTCAAACTCAATAATTTTAGTGTTTTGGTTTTTTTTTAAAAAAAGTAGTAGAGTTGAGGCTTCTAGGTGGGAATTGCCTTTAAATATTTCTGCTTGTAGTATAGTAGCAATATCCCTTTTAAAATCATACTGTAGCTGGGAAAGATACTTTGTTTTGCATGCTTCTGTTGATAACTGCTGCCTGTTGTGGAGGAGAGAGAAGCCTTCTGGAGGAGTTCACAGAGACATAAACTGATCAGAGAGCAATATATGAGGAGAAATTCACAGGACTAAGAGGATGATAGCTGTAGGTGGAATCATTAGCAAAAAGGAGTAGGACCTAGACATAGGAAGGCAATTCAGTTCTTAGAAAGTAAGGAAAGACAAATTATAGCATGAGTAATGAATGTTTTCACAGCAAGGAAAGGACTTCGTATTTCTAAAAGGAGCTTCAGCTTGATATGTCTTTGGTTGGTTTAGAATGTAGAGCGTTCTTAGTTACCTTGTTTGAAATTTGACACACTTAGTGCTTACAAGAGATACTAGATTGAAAGCCTGGGATGCTGAAGTCATCAAATATCCTGCAGAACAGGTACAGCATTCAAGAGGCACCGTGTGTGCCTCCCCAGAAATGTCCTTTTACACTACAAGTTTGCAAGGTACCTCAGTAGGGACTGAAGGGTAGTTCAGATTTCATGGTCTATTTTGAAACAATTGGCTAACTTCAAGACTACTAACAAGGGTATAAAGTCAGTATTACTTGTGGAGTGGAAATCTGCCCACTAAGCTAAGGCCCACCCAGTTCTAAAGTTTCTGTAAGTCTGAGTGGGTGCTCACTTTACCTGCTTTGTTATAGTCTTCTAATGACGTTTCTTTTCCTGATGCCCTTCACATAAAATAAAAATGAGGAGGAGAATGGTTTTATTTATTGGAATATAAAGCTATCTAACTCCTCCAGCTGTAATGAGGTAAATATAAATAACAAGACAACACTGTTGTTTTCTTTGGCTCCAGGGTGTATCCATAGTTCTAGTACACTTACTGTTTTGCTGTTGCTTGTTTTCCTTACGGCTTTTACTGACAGAACTGCTTCCTTGTAGGAGGACTGACAAATGGTAGTGGTCGCTATATTTCTGCAGCACCTGGAGCCGAAGCAAAGTATCGCAGTGCGGCAAGTACCTCCAGTCTTTTTAGCTCCACCAGTCAGCTCTTCCCTCCTTCACGCCTTCGTTACAGTAGGTCTGATATTATGCCTTCTGGACGTAGTCGATTGCTGGAAGATTTCAGAAATAATCGCTTCCCTAATCTTCAACTAAGAGACCTTGTTGGACATATTGTTGAATTTTCCCAGGACCAACATGGTTCTAGGTAATTATTATAGTAAAGTTAACTTAATAATGTTTTACTGCTTTGATATTGTTATGTTAACATCAAACATTTGAATGAGCTGCTAGTCATCTTAATACAAAGCATGCCATTACTTGGAGCACATGGTTTTTCACTGATCTTTTTTTTTCTCTAAGAAATTTCATTATAAAAATAGTATAAATGTAGCTTGTAGAAGTTCTCAGTGTAGAAGTAGCCTCATAACTAGACTAGTAAACTCTAGTATTTAAGCATCAAAAAGGTGTTGATTAAGAAAACAAAATATCTGGCATCTGGAATGTAAGACCATTTTTCAGCAATACATCATCAGATACTTAGTTATTATTCTTTTCATCTTTAATCTTTTTCAAGTGAAAGTTTTAAAGTATAATGTTACCAAAATGTATCCTTTTATATGCAAAGGCACTACTTTCATTTTAATGAGTTTTATAAATGTTAAATACTTGCTTTAGAATTTTTGAGGTGTCTCATTGAAACAGTGTTTGAGAGGTTTTCCTGTTGTTTATGTAAAGCATAATGTACCTTTTTTGCACTTAGATTTATACAGCAAAAGCTGGAGCGAGCTACTCCAGCTGAGCGCCAGATGGTATTTAATGAGATCCTGCAAGCAGCATATCAGTTGATGACTGATGTGTTCGGAAACTATGTAATACAGAAGTTCTTTGAGGTGAGCATAATGCTAAGTGTATGAACAGGAATGCGAATGAGATGCTGTAAAATCTGATTAAATTTAACTGTTCTTTCCTTAACATCATAGGAGAATTCTACTGGACTTTTACCACAGAACCCAAACGTGTAACACTGCACACGTGTTCTCTGTTCTGTATCCCCTGCTTTTTTTCATAACAGGCACAGTTTCTCTTTACACTGATGGTGCATACATTGGTGAACGTACAGGCTTCACTCTCAGGCTTTGCAAGCCTTTTAGAGTAATTTACAGAGACTTTCAGCAGATAATGGGGAACCTAAAGATTTGAGGGATACTTTTTATTGGTTACTGCATCTTGGTAAAGAGTGGAACATGCTGGAAAGGTCTGGAAAATGCTCTTGCACCCAAATAAGTAGCTGTGTGAATGTCAGTACTGTATATGAAAGAACTCACACAGAATGTATTGAGGCAGAAGAATTTTGAGAAAGCAAGATCATAAGATACATCCAATGTTACTAAAACTAGTATTTGAAACAGCTTTGGTTTTGTTAAAAACTATGGGGTGAAAAAACCAACCACAACCTTTATCAAAGTGACAAGATTTGACTTACAGAGAGAAGAAAAAGCAATATGTGTGTGTGTCCTGGAAAAAAGTTATATGTAGGAAAGGTATCTAGCGTAGTGTACTTTAAATCAAGGACCATATCAAAGTACCTGAGTGGATAGAAGGTGAAATTGGAAAACATTCAATAAGAAATAGGATGTTTGCTGTAAACAGGAATGTAGTTTTTAATGAGTAATCTACAAAACAAAGTGCTCAGTTTGGTTTTACTTGGTACTCTTTTTAACAAATCAAAATATTTTCTGAAAAGTGTGGCTGATGCATAGTACACAAGATCTTGATCTTGCTCAAGAGTCATCAATTGCTGTTTTTTCCATAATGTTAAGTCGGATTAATACATAGATAATCATAGCCAGTTGAGTGTTTTCATCTTAATTCTGCGGAAGAGTTCTCAAGAAGAAAGTGCACTAGGCCTTAGGTGTATTAAGGGACTTAGTTCATTATTTAAGTAGGAAGGAGAAATTTGAGCTTTCTCCAGAGCCTTAGGTGACTACAGGTGTGAGGTTTGACAGTTCTCAGCAGCGCTGCATGAATGTTGCTTGTGCCACCCAGCTGATCACTTACTTCTGTGTGGTCTCTTGTACTGTGCCAACTCAGGAGCTTGCATGGCCATCTGGGAACATGGTTGCGTGTATTATTATAAAGTTTGACTGCTTTCTGCTCTGCTCAACATGGAGCAACACAGAAGGTTGTAGTAGCACTGTAGAAGGAATAATATGGGCAGGAATTAGTTACTGCTGGAAGACATTGATTGAATTACACTTTATACAGCCTGTGTTCAAAACCATTTTGATTTTGCTCTGCAAAGCCAAGTGTTTCTAAATTTCCCAAAGCGTCCCTGGTAAGAACGATCCTTCAAGCTGCGTGAAGTTACCAAGAAGCTACTTCAGGGGTTGAAATCTTACTCCCCCATCCCCTCCTGTTACAGCTTGCTTACTGTATGCAAGATGTAAGATACACTGACCAGTACAAATTTGAGATATCAGAGAAAATCTGGTTTGAGTTAATACATTATAGTAATCCTACTTTGGTTTCTTCTGTTGTCTTTCAAGGTCATGCATTTGATAGCAGGTATGTGACTGGGAAGTGGAATATTACAAAAGGTTGCATTTAGAAAATAAAAGCTTCTAGTAAATATACCCACCAAAAATACACAGGGTAAAATTATTCAAGGCACGCAGTAAGCCTGTAATACATCATAATAAAGTTCTTACTCTGACATGTAAATTCCAGTATGCTGCAATATGTCTTCATTTGTTAACAGCATATATATATTTTCTTCTAGTTTGGAAGCCTGGATCAAAAGTTAGCCCTAGCAACACGCATACGTGGTCACGTTCTGCCATTAGCCCTACAGATGTATGGTTGTCGTGTTATTCAGAAAGCACTTGAGTCAATCTCACCTGACCAGCAGGTAATTGTAAGTTAGAGCAATACTTTTTTATTTTATTTCTTTTCATTGCATCCGTCTTTTTACTTGCTAAAATTGTTGATCATTCCCTTCATTATGAAATGCCCTAAAGACTAAAATTGTTATTTAAATTAAAATGTTTCTGTAAACCACCAGTGAATATGAAGATTGGACATTTAAGATGAAATGGAATATTCCTTTGAGGAGGGGGGAAAAAATAATCAAGGATAATCTTTATTTCTAGAATGACATGGTGAAAGAGTTGGATGGTCATGTTCTGAAATGTGTGAAAGATCAAAATGGAAACCATGTTGTACAAAAATGTATTGAGTGTGTTCAACCCCAGTCACTCCAGTTCATCATTGATGCATTCAAAGGACAGGTAGTGTCAACAGTTCATTTCCTCTTCTGTAGAGTTGCTTTGATTTGCAGATGTTTTTCCATTGTTTGCATATACAAGATAGCGTTTGACACTTTGCAGTCAGCTTGTTTTAAGTAGGATAAAAAAGGGATGGTAAAATGGAAAAGCCGTTGAAGAAACAGTTAACGTGCTTTAGAAAGATGGGTCTGTTGGGCATGAGGCTCTGGAAAGAACTTGTTTGGATGTATTATAAATACAAATAGAGATGTTTGGTTTAAGGCCAGGCTTTCTGTTTGAGTTTTGTGATACGCCATTTCAGATTTCCTTTATAACTTTTAATGTTGCCATTTTTGATGTAATGAAGTATCTGCTCTCTAGCATGTATTTTTCATTAAAATTTCAGTTTTCTTCTGTTGCTTATGTTGCAAGTCTGTCTTTCAGTGTTTCCCAATTAATGTCTATCATTAAGGAAATGCTTTGAAGAAATACATTGATCTGTTCCCTACATATGGGCTAGTGTTAAGTGAAGGGGGATGGTATTTGCTTATTTAATGTTGGGGTTTTTGTTTGGTTCCAAAAAAGTTATTAATATAAGATTGATGTTGTGCTGCAGGCTATAGAATATGCTGCAGCTAAATAAGACTTCAATACTCTGAGACAAATGCATACTTTTATAGTCTCAAAGAATTGTAAAAATCTTACTGACTTGGCTGCGTTACTAAATTTTACTTTAATGGATGGCCAAATGTATTTCTCAACAAAATCTACAATATCCTTCTCTCACATTTTACGCAACAGCAATACCCAGATTATTGTTGTACATAGTAGTAAATGGCATACCAGGGTTTCTAGGATCGGGTCTTTTTGCATCAAAAAGGCGGGGGGGGCGGTAAATGAGATACAGTTTCTAAACTGTAAATAGAGCCGCTTGACTAAAATGTGGCTGTTTATTTACTGGACATCTACCCTCAACTCCCAAGAAATTACATATTAAAAATATCAGCTAATCTGAAGTGGCAGATGAAAAATAGCACACAACTCATGTCATTTACCGATGCACACCTTTTTCATTTGCCTGCATCGTTTGGATCTATGTCTAATCAGACAAGACTGTTCAGTTCTGACCAATGCTGACTCTTAAGTCTTTTGAATTAATCCCTGAAACACAAACCTGGCTTCTGGAGAAGCAATCGAAAGGAATAAGCAAGATTTTGACTACATATTTTGAACGCTTATTTACAAGCTTGGTATCTGTAACAGGGAGCCTGTTGCATATGCTGAAACATGAAATGAGTGAAAATTAGCCACAATAATTGAACTCCTTTTTGTAAATGTCAATATCTTAAAATTTGAAAAAGTAGTACAAAGTTAAAAGGAAAGCTTGAAAGGTGAACAGTGCTTAACTAAGTCTTGTGCTTCCAGGCTTTCCTTTGCAGCTAAGTAGGCTAGAAACATTGTAATGAAAACTTGGGTTCTTAGTTGTATAACTGCGGGAGTCCTTGACACACAAAAAACTGCATTTTCATCTTTTCCTGCCTTCTGCTGTAGATGGAATTCTGATAATGCCAGACAAAACTTTTTTATAGAAGTAGTTGGCATGGTCGGTTTCATTTCGAACGTGGTGATATTACTGTATCTGTAAACTTTGGTTGCTTTAACTTCAGTTTGCAATCCTATTTTAAGGTATTTGTACTTTCAACTCATCCATATGGTTGTAGAGTAATTCAGCGTATTCTGGAACACTGCACTGCTGAGCAGACTTTGCCAATCTTAGAAGAACTGCATCAGCACACAGAACAGCTAGTGCAGGTTAGTGCATGTATCCATCTTTTAATGCATTTTAGAGCTTTTTGTTGTTGTCGTAATTTATTCCTATTTCTTAGTTTAAGAAGTAGTTTAAATGCATTTGCCTCTTTTTAGTTTTGTAGATGTTGATTTTTTGTTTTTCTTTCCTTCTGTAGTTTTAATGAAAATGAATTTGGAAGTTGGGAGGCAAAGAAGATATAAAAAGCCTTTTTCTTACACTTTTGACTGTAGCTTCGAATATACATTGTAAATGCACTGAATTAGTGTATTTTTTTTTTTATTTCAAAGATTGCCTTTTTGTAGTTTATCTTGATTCACTCACATGTCCCTCAGATAACTTCTAATTATGTCTAAACACATACATTTCAAAAATATACATGTTGCATATTCTTACACAAAAAGAGCATCTTTTCTAAAAGAAGGCCAGAGACCTTACACAGCATGATTCCCTGTCTTGGTCTCAGAGGAGTAAAACAAGTGCTACAAATGGCTTTGAAATCGAATCGGTTTAAAATACTGGAAGGGACTTGGTGTTCAGTACAAATTTCCACACATAAAAAGGCAAGAATTGCCTTTTGCTACCTACTTACAGTCTAGATTATGTCTCAGTGGTTTCTTGTATGTACAAGTCTCTAGTTAAAACATAACTGTCTTGGGAACCAAAGTTCAGGGAGATATTACGGCTATTAAAGAATGATGATCTTAATTTTGAGGACTTCTCTCTTTAAGAGGATAAAAGGTACTCTAGCAAAATTCTGTTTTTACAGATTATTTGCATTTTGCATGTAAATTTTGTGGCTCGTTAAGTAATTAGTGATGCAATATTTCTTGCATCACTTTATTTCTAGTGTTGTCGGTATTGTATTTTTACTTATATCTATACAAATAGTAATTTGAATGAACATTTATATAAATGTACAAAAGCTGTATGGATTACTTGGTGTGAACACAAAAGAAAATTGAAGTCATCTTATTTTCAGGATCAATACGGAAATTACGTTATTCAACATGTACTGGAGCACGGTCGTCCTGAAGACAAGAGTAAAATAGTTTCAGAAATAAGAGGAAAAGTTCTAGCTTTGAGCCAGCACAAATTTGCCAGGTATTGCACAGCCTTCATATATTAAAAATTCACTAACCTTTTGAAGTTGTAGTACTGGATTTATTTATTGTGTTACAAAAAGGGTATGCTGGGTTTTTTTTCTGTTGTGTAACCTGCCTCCTGAAGTGTTGTATTTTTATAGAGATGAACAGTAGTGGTATTTTCGTACTAGATTTGGGGAAGGTGAAGTGCTGTTCTGTAGCAAAACAAAGAAGATTCTGCAGGCTTGTGGGATGGTTTTTGTTCACCTTATGCAAGTGCAGGGAATGGGTTCCAAGTCTCCATGTGAGGATTCCCAGAGCCAGGTAAAAGCTCTCCAAGAGCTTGCTTGGTACGCTTATGATGATGAGCTGGGACTTCCTGACTGTCAGTCCAGCCAAGCAATTTACAAGTATAAAAAGGCTAACCTTGAAAATTGGTGGTTCAGCCTGATGAGGATATTACGCGTTAGGATGTGTCAAAGGCTATTGTAGGAGTCCTGAACTACTCTAATTTTAGAACCTAAAACTCATCCTTCAGTGCTTTTAGCTGAAATATAGATTATGTGCTTTTTGCTAAGGAAGACACACCTCAGGATTTATCCTGGATGATTCAGCAAGACGTAACCTCGTCATCAAGTAGAACTGCACTGTGACATTGTGGGGGCATTTGTTTTAAAAATTGATTGTACGCAAACTAGCAAGTTTATCTGGATTTTATTTTTCTTTGCCTAAATAGAACTGTTCATAATCTTCCCCTTGGAACTTGCCTAATTTCTAAAGTATAAACTTAGGACCAGAAAAACTTTGCCATCTTACAAGCATTGATAGCCTTTCCAGCTTCTGAGATATCTGGGAGGTCGGAGGCTTCCTCTACAAAAAAGTGTTTGACAGAATGTCTGATCTAGGCATGCTCCTGAAAAGTGCCTGTATTCAAAAAGCTGGAAGCCTCGTATCTGGCTTTCTCTGTTGTGTCTTAAAAGGGCCCACAACCAAAGTAGATGTGCTAGAACACATCTGCAACTTGAGGTCCAGTGTATCTGCTGCAGGTCCAGTGGAAAATCTCTCCTACAAGATAATAAGTATCATAAAATTACTTTTTTTACATGAATAGGAGGATATAATCCTTTAATTTCCTCAGTCCTTACAGACCAAAGACTTGGAAATCAGGACTTGATGCGTTTACAGTGCAAGCTTTAGTGGCCTTAAGACACTTGAACTGTTCAGATAAATATAAAACTGCTACTTAGAAAAATGCTACATCTGAAGTCACAGAATGCATTTGTCTTTTCAGCAACGTGGTAGAAAAATGTGTAACTCACGCTTCTCGTGCTGAAAGAGCTTTACTTATTGATGAGGTGTGTTGCCAGAATGATGGTCCTCACAGTGCCTTATACACCATGATGAAGGACCAGTATGCCAACTACGTTGTTCAGAAGATGATTGATATGGCTGAACCTGCTCAGCGGAAGATAATAATGCACAAGGTATATTTGCATGTGTCGTTTATTGGTTCAGAAAATTTTCTATATTAATTTTTCTGCTAGAATATGTTTCCCTCTAGATGTAAAAGTCACTAGTTCTGTAGTCAGAACTTGATGTATAAACATTAAATTCAGTGGAGCTTGATAAAGCAGAATATGCTCAGGTCTGAGCACTGAGCTAAAAATGTATAGCTACAGAAAAATTTCAAAAGTTGGATTTCATCTCCTCTCTTTGTGCCAGCTTTTCTGTGAAAGTACTTTTAATAAAAAAACGTGGTATCTGTCATCTTTATTAATATAACAGAAGATAGGTTTCTCTTTTTATTTACTGGTTGCTGGTATAAATCCATTCTGCAGTTCCCCCAAAAGAGATTCCCACACTTCCTAACATATGGGCACGTTTTCTACTTAAGAATACCCAGACACGGGCAGAAGTGCTATTGCCATAACTGCCCAGGCTCCTTAACGCAGGGCCCAGTATATTCCTGCAGGAGCTCTGCTTCCCCCAGTCACCAGCAGGACACTCCCACAAAAGGGCTCCCTCCCTTTTCCTGCGACAGGTACGTCAGTTGTTCAGTGAGTCGAAATCACTGATTTTACACCTTTCCAGAAACTTCCAAATTTTTGAAATACAGGCTTCTGACATTTTTTACCTAATATTTTGAAGTGTACTAACCTCTACTTAAAATTTTTGAGGGAGGAAAAAAAATAATAACAGATTTCTTCTTACAGATTCGACCCCACATCACAACTCTGCGTAAATACACCTATGGCAAACACATTCTGGCCAAGTTGGAAAAATATTACCTGAAGAACAATGCTGATCTGGGGCCAATTGGTGGACCACCAAATGGAATGCTGTGAAAGACAAAAAGAGGTGGAAGAAAAATTGAATTGTGAATGATCAAAACATACAACTTAACTATAAATGTTCTGATTTTTTTAAATCTATTTATTGACTTTGTTCATCCATTTGTAAAATTTTTATTCTTGTGTATATTTTTGGGGAGTGAATTGTTAAAAAAAAAGAAAAAAAAATATCTCCAGCCCTGATCCGGAGACCTATCAGATTGGATGGCTGGCAAAGCACAGAATGCCTGTATATGATGTAATTGTATCAAAATAGCTGTCACATATTTTGTAAATTTTTACCTTGTAAAGTCACTGAAATAGTTTTTAAAGGGAAAAAGTACAGTATTCTTTTAATACACTGTCTTGCAATCTGGTAGGTCTACCCAGCATCATAGCACAACTGGTTTATAGAGTTGTATATAGAATTAATCCTTATTTTTCCCTTTTGTGTGAAGTCTTTTATACCAGATTAAAATTGATCAGCTGCATAAACATTATTTAACATGTTGAAAAGTTAAGTTGTATTTTGGTGGTTCACAACATACTATCCAAATAATAAACAGGGCACAGCAAATTCAAGTAGGGAGTAACAGAACAATGGAAATGTTAAGACTAGCTTTTGTCACTTGCTGTGGATACAGGTGTTTTTTTTTTTTAAATGGTGCCCTAAGGTTTTCTCTAGTGATGTATTAAAAATGAAAGTGCTGTATATACGTATATATTTAATTGTTGTACAAGGTAGAGGGATTAAAATGATGGTGGTACTTCCGCTCAGTAAAGTACACTGCTGGAAAAGGAGTGAACTGTGTATTAACTTTACAGGCAGTTTTACAAGGCAGGAAGGGTAGGAGATTTGTATTTTTTTATTTTGCATATAGAATTGTAAGGATTTGAAGGTGTTGAGCATTTATTTTGCTTTCTCACTGTAGATGCAAAAAATAGGTATTGATGAAGAGAAAAGGGGCCACTGAAAAGTAAACTTGATAGCTCAACATTTAAGCATGATTGATTAAATATTCAGATAGCTTTTTTGCTTCCTATAAATATATGCATTGTATACGTGTAGTTAATTAATAGGTGTAAGTTTACAGTTTGAAAACAAATCTCTCGTTTCGATGTTTATTACAAGCCTTGCTAATTTAGTAGTGATGCTTACCTTGGTTGTACAGATGTACATTTGTAAACCTTCATGCTGTAAATGTAATTTGTTTTACCCCTTTTTGGGACAAAAATTTGCATTTTAGTGTATATTCATATCCCCGTTCCCTTTTCTCCCCCTGGCATATAGTGTTGTATAATGTAAATTTATTTCAGCAAATCAAGAGTGATTTTTTTAAATTCTATCTTTATATGGTTTCAGAAATATGAACCGGCTTTCTTTTTATCTATTGTGAGAAACATTATGTTTTGTTTATAACATAGCTGTTGATTCTGTTAATATGGACACTTTGGGAAATTAATCTGTTCAAATTTTAAGTCGAGATAATAAGCAGAGTAAGAAATGGACTGAAATATTTGGTTATTACAGAAACCAATGCTTCTTCCATCTTAATAAATGTGGCATGATTTTTTTTGTACAGAAGAGTACTGTATTTTTGAATAGCCTTCTCCCAGCGTAAAGCAAATATGTATGATACTGTCAATTTTTTTCTCTGGACATATGACATTGTAACAGTAACATAAAGATGATGTACATTTACAAGCGGCCTTATGTACATTTCCCAATGATCTTTTTAAGGCGGAATTGTGACCATATGTGTATAATTAAAATCCTTTTTAATCCTTTGCCTATGGAAATATTTTGGAAAAAGCTTACTTTGTATATTCAGTTTCTGAAAGATAAAGAAAGTGCTTTGTATGTTGTTGAAGTAAGTATTTTGTGTAAAACATTCATTTGGATGGCTTAACCTAAAGTTTTGAGCAACGAGATAGTTTAAAGGCAATGTCTTGAGCATTGATCAAAGAAAAGGCTGTATGGTAGGGATCTGATTGTGAGGAAGGAAAATAGTGGTGGTATAAACTTGCACAAGGAATTCTGTCGTATTGCTGTTTACGTTGGGTTTACAGAAATCTTTAATTAAAGCTCACGTCTGAGGCGCTACTTTTTTTAATGGTAGCGTTAACTCCTTAATAGGCAAATAGGAAAGTTCGTTCTGGCCTACTTCCAGTTCCTGAATATGTCATTCAGTGACTGCGTTAAGCGACGTAGTAGGCCTGATTGTTTTTAGTTAAGCACAGTTCTAATTGCCCAGTAGTTTTTGCACAGCCTTTCGCAAAATTCCTCTTGAGAGGTACAAGCCCTGTCCTTGGAGCCAGAGCTTTCCTATAGTTACACAGAGGATGACTTTTGAGCCACTTCCTTGGACACATTAATTCTCATCAGTGACTGTTTTTACCCTGTGTACAAATGCTGTGTCTCGTAATCCACAGAGCCGACATTCTCTTCAACGTGTAAGACAGTAAGTTGGGCTTTCGAGGATGTCCTGGCAGGAACTGGTAATGTCCCAGTACTTTGTCCCTGTAGCACTCATGCCATGGTTGAATTTAAACAGTCCTATAACTTGTCATCTTTAGTGCTTTCTGTATCTTGAACATAATCTTCCACTTGCTCTCCTAAAAATCATTTTGCACAAATTCTATCCAGGAACATGTGAAAATCACTGGTTTTCCTTTCAACTGTTTTAGGCTTTGGGTAGAACCACTAGACTTACTGCTCAAGTATCGCTTTTTGATATAGATTGTTTATGGACCAGTTTGACTAGGTTTGACTCCAGGTGGCTCATATTGAATAATGTAATGTTCACATGTATATACTGTAAAAATCAAAATGAAAATGTGTGAATAACACTGTGTGAAATACATCTGGTCTTGTGTTTTTCCTATAGGAAACCAGCCATTCTTTATATTCTCAGTTGCATGACTTGTCTGCTGTCTGTGGAGCTCAGCTTTGAAAAGGTACCGATTTCTGGTGGTCTGAGGGGAATCAGTCAATTATTGAAGAACCCTGTCTTAGATCATGAAGTTTCCAGAGGCCCGTTCTGTCAATCAGTTCTGTTCCATGAGACTGTTTGATGAACTAGTAACTAGGAAAATGAGTAAACAGTGAGGTGACAACAACTCAACCATGTCATTCAGGAAAGTAAAGCTGAGAGAACAACTGCAAAAGCATTTTAAGAGCCAGTGATTGGTCACGAAAATTGCAGCTGGTGTGTAAGTCACACCTGGGGAGAAAACCCAGTGTTAACGAAGAACAATTTGCTACCGAGTGCTTGCAGTCAGGTCAGCCGCCGTGCTCTGATGCCGAGTTTTATACGGAGAGCAGTGGCTGGTGGCCGCGTACTCTGAGAGTGGCAGGTCGTTTGTAGCTCTGTTCAGCGATTACGTGGTTCTGTGCTGCTGCTTGAGGGAGGAAAGGGGAAAAAAAAAACCCTTCTGTACCTGATGGCAGCTGTCCCAGCCCTGGTCCCCAGCCCACAACAGGGGAGGAGTGTGTCAGTTTAATGCCAAGGTTCACATCTTGCCAAGCTACTGGTAGCACTTGAAGCGATCCCAAGGTCTCGTTAGTCTGTGGGCAACGCTGATGTTTCGATGAGTGTGTGCTACAGGCAACGCTTTACTTTGCCTGAAGAGTTTCAATTTGAAGTATTTTCCGTGGTTGGAAACAGTGTCAGAAACACTCAGAGTCACTGTGTGTGCCCAAGGATCGCTGATTCAAGCATCTCTTGGCTTGGGGGTGGGGAAACTTGGTTCCTGTCAGGGATAGTATAACCTCAGGGATATGCTTGATCTCCCAAAGGCTAGTGTGCAGAATTGGGCTAGAGAGGTTTGGGAGAACTTAGCAAATGTAGATCCTGCTACCCAGGAAGAGACAATTGGAGCGATGCTGGAGAACGAGCCTGGGGCGTCAGTGCTCCTGTGTGGCAGAGCAGCCCAGGCCTTTCCCACTCCAGCAGAAGGGGTTAGGCATCAGCACCATTACAGTGGAAGGACCTACCTTACAGTGGTAGGTCACCTCCTCCCACGCAGAAAGGATAGAAGGACATCCATCAAAGTGCTGAGAGCACTCCAGAGCCAATACAGTACATGGGCTTCTCCCTGCTGGCACAGCGCCTGCGTTAAGCAAAGGAGGCAATTGCTTTATCCAAGAGTGAACCAAAACCCAATGTTGCCTATTAAGTTTCAAAACATAGAGGCTGTCAGGAAGCTACCATCCTACCTCGGGGCAGAGAGCCAGTAGGGAAGACCGAGCTTATGGTTTAACCGAACTGCTGGTGTTCCTCAGTGAGGTGGTGCAGGTGTGTTTCCTCCATCAGCCCTTTGGACAGAGCCTGCTCATTTTGCGTGCTAGCTCTGTGGTGAGGGAACTTGCCCAGCAAATGAGATGCTTGAATTAGTCTCCTTTATCAGCCTCAGGGTTTTGAACCCACCTCCCTCACTTCACAGGAGTATGTCCTAACCACAAGGAGCTGGGCGGGTTCACTCTATGCTCCTTAATTTGGGCTGGGCTTTTAGCAGTGCTTGAACCATGCGTTGCATCACAAACAGCACAAGATGGAGCATGACTCCTAAAGCATGCAGGTGGGAGTGGGTAGGTTCTGCTCTCCAGATCCTTGTCTCCACCTTGATTCTCCCAGACTCGCTTAATGCAAAATATATCTTGGGAGCAGCATTCCCCCGTCATTAACAAATTGGAAATGCTCCAGAGGCTTTTTATATAGCAGCTGAAATGTAGGAAGACCTATCCCTAAAGACCTTCATTTCATTAGTAAGAACGAACATAGAAATGAAACATTCACCCTCACCAGTGTTACTACTCCAGGCACAGGAGGCCTTCTGCCTCGTCTTCCTCTGCTTGCGCAGTACCTGCCCAGCCCTGAAGTGTCTAGATCTGCAAACAAGGATCAGGGGCATGTTGCTGGTGGCACAGCTGATGTACTAGACCACAGGACAGGGAGAAACCCCTTACTAAGCTGAGCTGAGCAGCCCTAATGAGGTTCATCTGAGCTTAAGACTTGCCTGGAGGGTTCAGATTTTCTGGCAGCCACACAGCACCGCAGCCCTTCCCCAGCTTGGCTGCCGGATCTTTTCCCAGCCAAGCCTAAGGGGAATAGGGAGGAAGACAACCCTTCCCCAGCACAACAGTGCTCAGGTGATGGAGGCTGTT